TCCCCCATCCTCCCCACAAAGAACTAGGATCAGAAGGCCCTGTATGAGAAACCTCCCGCCTTTCTTACATGCTCCTTCTCCTGCGTCCTCACCTCCATAAATGGCATCCCCGTCTATATGACTGCATCAAGTAGAAATCCAGACGTCATCCTTGATTTCTTCCTTACTCTCCATACCAACAATCTTTGATTCTCCCTGCTCAATTCCATTTTCTTCCTATACCTCCCGCTCCCTATACACACTCACCCTCCCTCCTTCCCTCCCTCCCCCCACTCCATCTGAAACACCATCACCTCTTGCCTGCCATTACTGCACCAGCCTCCTAACTGGTCTCTTTGCCTATGGTGCTCTAGCCCTCAAATACACTCCCCAAATAAGTAGCTGGAGTTCTCTTTCTAAAATGCAGAGGATCAGTCCCTCCACCTTGAAATCCAAACTCCTCAACCCAGGCATCAAGGCCCTTTCATGACTTGGCCTCTACTCTGCCTATCTTGCCAGTCTCCTCTCTTGCCACATTCACCCACTTCATGCTTTATGTTTCACCAAGGAATCTTGAGAAACTTATTTAACCCCAAGGTCTGTTTCTTCACCTACAGAATGGGAATAGTAATAATAGATATCTCTGAAGGTATGGGGAGAAATAAGTTAAACACATGTTGAATGCTTAGAATAGTACCTGGTAGATACAGTAAAAGGGCTAAAAGTCTCACCTATTACCACCACCATCTCTAGATTTGCTATTCCTTGTGCCTAGAATATTCTTATGTCTCCTCGTTGAATCCCAATCTCTTCTTTTCCTGAGCCAACTTCTCTGGGAAAGGTTTCCCTGACCCTCCAAGGCTGACTTAGTTACCATTCCTCCACGCTTTCATGCTGTTTTGTCACTTCACACACTGTCTGTTTCCTTGCCTGTCTTCCCCACCAGGCTGTATACACCCAAATACCCAAAGCTTAGTATCATGTGTGACATGCTTAGTAATTGTTCAGTAAATGGAAAACTTTCCAATAATACAATGCCTAATGAAAGAGAATCCCAATAGGTAACCAATTCAAATGTTGGCCAGGTGGCTGGCTGGTCTACACGACTTTATAACCCCTCAACTGCACTATTCTATCCAACAAACAATTCAGCACACTCTTGACCTCATTACCATACTCAGTGGTTTGGACTTTAATACGTAGGAAATGTCAAGCCATCAGATTTTTTAAGGAAAGCGCAACAAGCTCAGATCTGTTTGCTGCCCTATTAACCATCTCTAGAGTATCTCCCACCCATCCCTGGTGGTATCAGGGCAAAATCCCAACTAACCTTCACAAGCATACCCTTGACCACATCCCACCCCGAATACACAGACATGGACAGAGGGAATTTTGAGAAGCTAAATACAGCATTTAACCCCATCTTAACCAGCTGCGAACAATGAGGATCCATAAACACTCTCTAGGAACCCAAAAGCTAATCCCTCTTGTGTGCCTTTATGGAAAGAAAGGAGAGCACAAAAAGGGAGCATTTCATAAAGGTAATCCACTTAATCGTCCTCTGAGTAGTTCTGATCCAAGCTGCTGTCATAGCACGCTATTCATGATCACTGCAGCCCCATGTCCCCAAAACTTGGATAGTCAGAAAGGAAGGTGCAAACAAAGCACGGGCAGAAAATCCTCGGTTCTATTTCAAGGGTAGGAAGCGTCTTTGGAAAATACAGAAAGGGTGAGTAAAGAACTCAAAAAAGGGTTCAATAATAAGGAATTTCAATCCAGAGTGGGGAGAAAAGATGGAGAAAGCTTAACCAGATGTACCACTAGGCCTGGGTTCTTGCTCTAGAGCTGCATGCCACACCCTACTGCAGGTTCGGACTAATAATCATTTTACATTTACACTGCACCCTGAGGTTAAGGGAAGCACTAAGAGCACCAGCTCTGCCAATCACAAAAGGACAAATATGGTACGATTCTACTTACATGAGGTACCTAAAGCAATTAAATTCATAAAGACAGAAAACAGAATGGTGGTTGCCAGGGGCTGCGGGGCGAGGGGTATAGGGAGTTAGTGTTTAATGGATACCAGTTCAGTTGAGGAAGACAAAAAATTCTCTGGGTGGAGGAAGGCAAAGGGGAAACACTGACACAACTGTAATAGAATAAACATGATTTAAAAAAAAAGATTCTAGGTGTATGGTGGTGATGGTTGCACTACAATGAGAATGTACCTAATGCCACAGAACAGTACATTTTAAAATGGTTAAAATAGTAAATTTTGTCTTATGTATATTTTCACAAAATATAGCACACCAACTTTAAAGTCTTAGTGTCTGCACTTACCAACTACATGACAGTGAGAAAGTCATGTAACCTCTCTAAGCCTGTTTCTTCTTCTGCGAACAGGGATAATAGTACCTAATTCACACAGTTCCTCTAAGGATTTAATGAGATGCTCCAAATAAAGTCCTTACTCCAATGACTGGCACATGGCAAGTACTTAGTAAATATTAGCTACTATTCCCACTACTCAAAACTACAATGCACTTTCACAGCCATTTTTCATAGACTCTACAAAATCCTGTGAGAATTCACTGATGAGGAAATTGAGGCTCAGACAGCCGTAATGAGAGGCTTAGTTCATTATTTTACACCAAATACTCTGCCCAGAAGAGGTGTTCTGTACTTGCCACTTATTAACTTGGTGGATCTCAATTTCTCAACGACAGTGTAAAAACTCCCTCCCTCACAGGACTAGTTTAGAGATGAAATCAGATAATGGTTACAAAAGACTATAAAGTACTGTACAATTAAGTTGCTGACTTCTGAGAACTAGCATATCTGTGCACAAAAACCCGGCCTCCTCCTAATGCTAAACCTGAAACGTGGACAGCAGTGGGAACTAAGCAATGTCCTTGTGATTTCGATTTACTCAGGATTCCTGGTCTTAAGGCCTGCATAAGTAATTTAGTGCCCTTTCAAAAGGTGGCAAGGTATGGTAGAAATAAAAATATTACTGGACTGAGAAGAAGACTGGGAATTCTAGTTCTGATTCAGTTATTAAGGCAATCTGTGGATCTAAACTTACTTCCCCTTTCCAAAGTTCAGTTAAAAGGTAAGGGAGCCCATACTAGTGTGGCTCAGGGGACTGAATACCCACTTGCAAATCAAAGGGACTGGTTCGATTCCCAGTCAGGGCACACGCCTGGGGTTTGGGCTAGGTCCCCAGATGGGGGCGTGCAACAGGTAATCTATCGATGTTATCTCTGGCACACACGTTTCTCTTTTTCCCTCCCTTCCCCTCTTTCTAAAAATAAATAAAATCTTTTTTAAAGGTAAGTGGAGGAGGGCAGATTTAAAAAATGGTACCGGATGATCTGTAAGACCCCTTCCAACTTCTACATACCACAACTCCTAAATCCAGAATCTTGTAAAATGGTGAGTACAGCAGACCTCCAAACTCAAAAGAACTAATGCAAATATCAGGAGACTCCTCAAGACCTGGCCTAGAAAACTCCCCTGCTTGAATTTTAGATACTCCCCACACGGGGGATCAAACACATTGAAAAATTAGAACACCTGCCAGAGTTAATTTTAGTTCACTTTTACCCCTCTGGGCCTCATCTGAAAATAGTAGAAATAAAACCCTATTTGCAGGGAGGGAGCTGAAGCAATTGACTTAAGCCACTTCTACATCCTCCCACCACCGCGTCCCCCCTCCCCCCAACTAGGAGCTATACATCTAAACACTGCAGAAACCCTGCAAGGTTTCCGGTGGAGGAACATTCCACAAACAACATAAAGGATGGACCTCACTGTTTATAAAGACTTCTTTCTTTGAGGCGAAAACCCAGCGAACTTCAGTGTGTTTGAGATCTGGAGTCTCCTGTACCCATTAACTTCTAATGGGCAACACTAGCAAAAAAATTCCTAGTAACCTCCTTTCCCTTGGACCTCGAGAAGCCCCCAATGGGATTTCATCCACAGTATAGTGGACATTAACGCTGGAGTCAAGGAGAACGGAGTTATGTCTTTAACGGGGGACCCAAGGGTTAAGTCAAATCTCCTCTACACAATGAGATTATAGAAACTCACACTAATAAACAACAGGTACTACTATCACCATGGCTTTACATTTTGTGGCTACTGATTTGAAGCAAACTATTTAACCTCCCTGCGCCTTGATTTCTGCTTCTGTAAACGTTGATAACCCCAGAAGGCCGCCGTGGGTATTAAATAAGACTTACGAAGTTCCTCAGTCAAGTCCATTAAATTTTACCTGTTGGTATTAAACACTTCTCCCACACATTAGTTTCCCTCCCTGAATCTACAAATATCCTTCGAAGCGACTTTCTTTCCTCCATTTCACGGAGGGGCAAACTGAGACTTGGCTGCAAAGGGGGCTCAATCAGGTGCGGAACACGGCCCCAGGTCGAGGGCCTGTTGTTGATCCTCTCCAAGCCCAAGGTGTGCAACGAGCCCAGCATAAGTGGGGGCCAAGGAGGCGCTCAGGCCCGTGAGGAGCGAAGCAAGACCAGTTTTGCACGCCTCCGGGAGCCCGCAGACCCAGCCCGGGAGGGAAAGCCGACAGAAGCCTGTAGCCAGGACCAGAGCCAGGGCCGGGCCCGCCCGAGGCCTCCCCCGCGCGGCCTCCAATCCCCACTCCTCCCCTCGCGGGGCGGGGCGCGAGCACAAAAGACTCCAACTTCCGAGCGGGCGCGGGCCCACCCCGCCAACTCCGGACGGAGGCCCGGCCCGTAGGGAGAAAGCAGACAGGAGACACCAAGGCGGCCAGGAGCGAGCTCGGCTGGGCCCGGCCGGCGACCCTGGGCGACGGGCCCGGGTTGGGGTAGGTTCGGGGGGAGGGCGCCGGGAGTTACTCTGGCTCGCGGGACTCCCAGAATGGCCGAAGAAAGAGTTTCTAAAAATAGGCAGCAGCCCGCACTAAGAAGTGGGTGACCGAAAAGGAACAAGGAACACCCCACACACACAGCCCTAAGGAGACACCCGCGGCTCCCACTCACCCGCGCCAAGAGGTCTAGAAGAAGCCGCGCGGCGCAGAAGAAGGCGGTGCCGCCGCACTCGGGGGCGGCAGGGAGGAAGAGGGCGGACCCGGCCGCGGCGAAGGGAGGTGAGCACACGCCGGGGGGGAGGGAGGGAAGTCGCCCCCGCCGTCGCTACCGCCCCTTCGGCTTTTCTTAGATCAGCCCGCCCAGCGCCCGCGCTGCTCGCGCGCCCAGCCGCACTGACAGCGGCGCGAGCCCCGCAGCTGCGAGTCCTTCCCTCGGCCGGTACCACTGAGGCGCGCGGGGGTGGGGGAGCCCGGAGCGGCTTCCCTCAACTTGGCCCCACCCGCTCCTCCGGCCCTGGCCCCGGGCTCTCCCTCTTCCCCGACTCTGTCTCCAGGGAAGGACAAGGTGACACAAACTCCAGGAGTCCGCAGCTCCGCCCTGACACAGCCCGGCTTCCCAGGCGCATGTTCTCTCACCAACCCCTCAGCTTGGTTTCGGAAAGGTCCAGAGCTTCGGCGGGGAGAGGAGGAAGGAGGGGCCGGGGCGGGGCCCAACGGGGAGAGGGATGAAGTGGGAGCCTGCGGAGGCGGAGCTCAGGGCGGGAAGAGAGACTCGCTTGCACCGTTATGGAACCGGAGGTGGGCGGGGACTGAAAGGGTGAAGATGCCGAAGAAGAGAGGACCACGAGGCAAGTATGGAAGACAGCGGTGGGGCCAGGTCGGGGTGTGAAAGGAGGGGGCTGTGGGTGGGGCTAAGCAGAGGCCGTGCCCAGAGGAGGAGTCAAAGGTGGAGGAAAGCTCCGGCGAGGTTGGGATGGAGGGGAAGCCCGGAAGGGAGTAGGGGCCCCAAAGGTAGCCTCTCTGGGGCCGGGGGTGGGGAGCCGGAAGGAGGTGTAACCCAAAGGAGGATTGCCGGGGTGGTGCTGGGGTGGGTGGGGCCTTAGAGATGGGGCCCAAACAAATCCGCGGGGGGCGGTGCCCGAGGGATGCGGAAGAGACCTAGTAGGAAGGAGCAGCAGGTTTTTTTCACTTTCAAGGAACCAAATGCATAGTCTGGGGGAGGATCGCTCCTCGCTACCTAGTCTGGGCACTCGGCCGAGAGGCCGCCTTGAGGGTGGGTTTGGGGGTAGGTGCCATCCCCACTTAAGAAAAGAAAAAGGTTAAGTCAAGTACATTTACCTTTCTGGGGTGCAGGAAATGTTTTATAGTTTGTTCTGCGTGGGGCCCTCCTCCCTCTTGAGTATTGCTCCTGTAGGAAACCCTCACCTAAATCAGTGTTGCAGTCTCCACGGCACAGACAGAGGTCTTCCAAGAGCACTCGAGGACCGTTGCGTTTCAGTCCTCAGCTGTAGACTTCCCCAAAGGCTGGGGATTGTCCAAATTCTCCATGCGTTTTCTACACGTGATACCGTGATAGTATTTTTCACATCACTTCCCCCAGAATCTGGTGCCTAAGAGCCGGGATTCCCAAGAGCTGGGCAGAGCTTGCACTGAACCTTGGCCCTGCCATAACAGCAGTTACAGTTCCACTTGTGTTGTTTGATGACCTCCATGTCTGTCTTCAAAAGGAAAAGAAAAAGAGAGAGAGACCGTGACACCAAATCCAGGAACGTTCTTCCCCCACCTCTTTTCCTTCTTATGCCTCAGGTCTCTCTGCCTAAATATCCTCCTGGAAGAGGCTTTCCCCAAACACCCCACCTAAAGATGTTCTCTAGTTTGGCCTCTTGTTCATTTCCTTCGTGGTATTTCTAAGTCTTGCCACTTACTTGTCTATGCATTTTGGCTACCCCCAAAATTGTTTACAGTCTCCCTTGCCATGAAAGTTGGCTTGATTTCCTAGGCTCCCTAGCAGATCACAGAGTTCTGGCCAATGATATGCAAGTGGAAGTTGTTTAGTTACTTAACCAAAAAGTTTTTTAAAGACATAGGCTCAACTGGAATTTGTCAGCCTTTGCACTTACCCCTGCGTTCTGCCTGGAACAGAGATGTGATGCACAGAGGCACAGCAGCCATCTTGTAATCTTGAGAACAAATATTGACTTAATAAGAATGGTACAGCAGAAAGACAGAAAGAGCCTAGATTCCTTCAGACTTTTTATGTGAGATAAAGCCCCATATATTTGTGCCACTGTTACTTTTAATTTTTGCTGCTTGCTGCCAACCAGATTTCTGATTCATGAAGCATAATATCTGGTTCATTGTAGTACTCAACAAATACTGGCTTTTGTTATTTTGCCTATGTCACTTGACATAGTCTTAACTACCCTATGCTGTCAGTTTAGAAATGGGGAAAGCCAGGCTTCTTCCCAGAGTGGGCTGTAAAGTTTCAATGAGATCAGTACCCATAAGAACAGCCAATATTTATTGGCACTTGCCATGTTCCTGAAACAGTTCTAAATGTTTCACATTTATTAGTCACTTACTCTTTATAGCAACCCTGGAAAAAATGCTATTATTACTGCCACTTAACAGATGAGGAAACTGAACATCAGAGTGGTTAAGTGATTTGCCCAAGGTCATACAGTTAGCAAGCAGCAGATCCAGGATTCAAACTCTGCAGTCTTAGAACAATGCCTGGTATCTGGGGACGTATGTGTATATTTTTTTTTTTTTTAAAGAGTGCAGCTTATGGTTGTTAAGTGACGTGTCTAAAGCCACACAGCCAGGAAGAAGTGATGAATTTGAATCCAGGATTCGGACACAGGTTTGGCTGACTCTAGACCCACATCATTGACCCACGTCATTAAGGGTATCCTTGTGGGTAAAGAGGTATGAGTCCTGCAGTGTTGAAGAGTCACTTATGTTTGTACCATGCGGAGAAAAAAACCTAGAGCCATTCTCAAGGCCACTGCACCATCCAGATGAAGAATCTGAGGCTCAGAGAAAGAACACAACTCGCCCAAGGTTGTCCAACTAGAAAGGGGCATTGCTGGGCCTAGGATCCAGCTCTATTCCATTATGGGGACATAAGAGGTCAGAGGAGCGCTGTTCATCCCTGATCTTAATGAGCCTTGGAGACAGCTATGAGTCAAGTGGCAGTGAGGGAAAACCCAGCCATTATACTAATTAAGAGGGCATTAAATTGAAGGGATACTTGTAGCCCTTTAGTTACCGGCCAGTGTTCTGACAGCCTCACCATTCTCTAGGAGTCCAGCAGGGCTTGTGAGGGGCACAGAGAGCAGCCCCTCACACCCTGACTCTCTACTAAAACACTTAACTGTTTGAGAGAAAATAACGGCACTCCTGTTATTCAATCAGCTTTGGGTGAAGCTGCAATAAACTAATTGAAATGAAATGGTTTGGGTCTGGGAAGGGAAATGATCACTCGTAGGAAAATACAGAGCATACCTTCATTTAACAAATATTTATTCAGCATCTCTTTCTGTGCCCAGCATAGCGCTATGAGCTACAATATAGCAATGATCAAAACAGGTAAAGGCTCTGTCTTCATGGAGATTATATCTGTGATAGAATTGAAAACTATCTATCCTCCACAACTCATAGGCACAAAAAAAGTATAGGTTCTTTATTTGGTATAATTTACAATTCTTTTTCTTGTGCCTTCCCTATCTATTATTGAGAAAAATACATAACTAATTAACAGTAACTAAGTCTCTTCCAGTTTAAAATGGTCTCACTTAGATAAGTACAGGCATACCTCACTTTATTGCACTTCACAGATAATTGTGTTTTCATCAACAATGAGGCAAGATCCTCTACCAGTAAAAAAAAAAACTACAACTCACTGAAGGCTCAGATGATGTCTAGAGTTTTTTAGCAATAGAGTATTTGTAAATTAAGGTATGTACTTTTTTTAGACATAATGCAGTTGCATACTTGATAGACTACAGTATAGTGTAAACATAACTTTTATATGTACTAGAAACAAAAAAAATTCATGTGACTCACTTTATTGCAGTCTTCGCTTTATTGAAGTGATCTGGAACCAAATCCACAGTATCTCATTGGTATGCCTGTAACATCTTTTAAGTAAAAGGTTCATCTTTCTGTGCCACCCCCACCCCTTCCTCTACTCAAGATGATTTCCAGGTGTCAGCCAGTCAACATGTAAATCCTAATGCTGTCCTCTGCTACCTACCAAGGCTGGGGGCAGCAGGTGTACTTAAATATGGACCATTCTCCCCTCCCCACGGAGTCAATGATAATATGCGGAAACCCTAAGATACCATCCAGGGGCATCCAACCTTTTGGTGTCTCTGGACCACCATGGAAGAAGAAGAGTCTTAGGCCACACATTAAATATACAAACACTAACAAAAACTGATGGGCAAAAAAAAAAGGTTTTAGGTAAACTTACAATTTTGTGTTGGGCCACATTCATAGCCATCCTGGGCCATGTGCACCCCGCAGGCCATGGGTTGGACACCCCTGAGGAAAAGCCATCTGTAGCCAATGGCCAGAGCCCCACCATATCTCCTATGAAATTAAATAACAGAAACATCATTTAAAATGGGGTAGGGCGGCTAGAAGAAAGAACTCTCATGCATGTGTCACTCAACATACACTACTGACTCCAAAAGGAAGAGACATACCTTGCATCTATGACAGGAAGTGCTACTTTACTACCTCAGCAGAGAGGAAAAGATTCCTCCTCACCCAGTAACAGCTTAGCCGATGGGCAACTGCCATTACTCAGCCAATGAAAAGTCATTATACTTTGAACTTCAATTTCCTCCAATGGACTCTTATTAAACAGCTCCTCCAGGGTCCATAAAAGAGCATTTTCTTCCTTTGTTTCGCTGAGTCTTGCTGAGTTCCACCATTAGACCCCATGCCCAGAATGTGGTTCTTTGTTATTCCCGAATAAACCCATTTTGCTAGAAATATATCTGGCTGTCTATTTGTTTAAGGTTGATACTCCTCAGCACTCGTCCCATGCTCCAAGGCTGATAACTGCAACTGTGACTCAAAAGACTTTGCCACAGGAGCACACTTGGCTCATGGACTGGACAAGGCAAAATACTGGCACTGTAATGCCCACAGAAATATCCTTCAACCAGTGACCAGTGGAGAGTTGACGATGACCCCAATGTCCTCACCCCTCAAATGGGATAACTCTGAGGGGTATTCTTAATTGCCTCATAGAGTTCCTCGGTGAGATTAGGTTCCATTTGCCCACAGTAGTAAGTTTCCCTTTCTGGATGCTTTTCTGACCAAGCCATCTCCTAAAGGCCTATTCACAATTAATAGCTCTCTGTTGAGGGCTTCCAAAGCACTTTCTCTAACTG